TAGGAAGGCTGCCTCCATCCTCAAAGATCCCACTCACCCCCAGCATGGACTGTTCACCTCCCTACCCTCTGGCTGGAGGTTCAGAAGTGTGAAATGTAGGACCACTAGACTGAAAAACTCTTTCTTTCCCTCTGCCATCAGACTCCTAAACAGCTGAGGAGTTTATTACCAGGAAATACGTGATGTACTGTTTACATTCTCAGTTTGCACATTGACTGTTGACTGCTGCACATGCTGCTCCCATACAGCATACATTGTTATATTCTCATATATTTTTTATTATATTGCTGCATTTGCTGCTTAAAGTGCCTTAGATTTTGTGTTACTTATTTATCTACTTTATATTTCATTTGTATTTTGTGGCATTCATGTGGACGGCAAAGTAAGAATTTCATTGTACAGGGAAACACGTTTCCTAACTGTGCATATGACAAATAAACACTTTGACCTTGACCTTGACCTGGTGTTTTGTAGTTCAGCTAACAAAATGCTTTAGCCGTGTCTTTACGTTAATTTCCATGCTCAGGAACAGGGTGCAGCAGAGAAGTGTGTTTACACTTCATCAGTTCAGCTCTTTGTTGTTCAAAGCCAAATGAAAAGACATCAGAGAAACAGGCTGCCTCACTGGTTGCCTTGTTTCCTCATTACAAAACACCAGACTGGTATTTTTTAAACTGTCGCCCAAAGGCTCCGAATGGCCTCAACCTTTCACAGTGTCTGAAGTAACCAAGAGTCAAGGGCCTGTGCACGAGATTTCTAGATATTCTTAACAAATGTTAGGGTCTTGTGTTTCATGATGAGGAAACATGTCACAATACATGTCAGCTCTGTGATAGACCAGCGACCTGTCCAGGTTGGACCCCGCCTCTTATCCAGTGTCAGCTGGGATTGGCTCCAGTCCCCCCGCGACCCTGTTCAGGGATAAGTGGTGTAGATAATGGATGGATGGAAACACGTTACCAAGTGCGATGGTGGTGTTCATGCTCCCACAGGTATTTAGAGTTGTAATGTTTGTTCTAATTCTGATTTAGTTATTTTAAATGTACTCTTATTGTGTTATGTTTTCTTAAAAAAAGCCAAGAACATTAGGAGGGCCGGACGGATTGCTGCAGACCCCCCCCCCCCCCCCCCGCCCACCACCGTCTTTGGGCCCCTC